GGATTTTGGTGTGCCGCTGTTAGGTGTGTCGGCCCTGCACTAGCTCCTTCCCTCCCGGCGTTTGGTTCTTCCATTACACCCACCCTGGTGGAAGGACCAGGCGTCGGGGGCTAGTGCAGTCGGTTTTATGGTGGCTCTAAGTGGGTGGGACGGTTGGCTACGGTTTTATTGGCCTTCGAAATGCCGGTTGTTGGGATGCCGGCATTTCAAACGGGGATGGTTGGCTATTTCGTCCTCGCTGAGTCGACTCTCGGAAGGTTGGATTTCGGTTAGCCATATTTCTTTAATTTGGCTCGTTGTGCCGATGTTAGGTGTGTCGGCCCTGCTCTAGCTCCTTCCCTTCCGGCGTTTGGTTCTTCCATTACACCCACCCAGGGGGATGGACTAGTCGGCGTGGCTAAAGTAGTCGGTTTTATTGTGGCTCTAAGCGGGTGGGACGGTTGGCTACGGTTTTGTTGGCTTTGAAGTGCCGGTTGTTGGGATGCCGGCATTTCGAACGGGGATGGTTGGCTATTCCGTCCTCGCTGAGTCGACTCTCGGAAGGTCGGATTTCGGTTAGCCAAATTTCTTTAATTTGGCTCGTTGTGCCGAAATTAGGTGTGTCGGCCTTGCTTTAGCTCCTTCCCATCCGGCGTTTGGTTCTTCCATTACACCCACCCAGGGGGATGGACTAGTCGGCGTGGCTAAAGCAGTCGGTTTTATGGTGGCTCTAAGTGGGTGGGACGGTTGGCTACGGTTTTGTTGGCTTTGAAATGCTGGTTGTTGGGATGCCGGCATTTCGAACGGGGATGGTTGGCTATTCCGTCCTCCTTGAGTCGACTCTCGGAAGGTTGGATTTCGGTTAGCCAAATTTCTTTAATTTGGCTTTGCCGATGTTAGGTGTGTCGGCCCTGCACTAGCTCCTTCCCTTCCGGCATTTGGTTCTTCCGTTCCACCCACCTAGGTGCAAGGACCAGGCGTCGGAGGCTAGTGCAGTCGGTTTTATGGTGGCTCTTAGTGGGTGGGACGGTTGGCTACGGTTTTGTTGGCCTTCGAAATGCCGGTTGTTGGGATGCCGGCATTTGAAACGGGGATGGTTGGCTATTTCGTCCTTGCTGAGTCGACTCTCAGAAGGTTGGATTTTGGTTAGCCAAATTTCTTTAATTTGGCTCGTTGTGCCGATGTTAGGTGTGTCGGCCCTGCTCTAGCTCCTTCCCTTCCGGCGTTTGGTTCTTCCATTACACCAACCCAGGTGGATGGACCAGGCGTCGGGGGCTAGTGCAGTCGGTTTTATGGTGGCTCTAAGTGGGTGGGACGGTTGGCTACAGTTTTGTTGGCCTTCGAAATGCCGGTTGCTGGGATGCCGTCATTTCGAACGGGGATGGTTGGCTATTTCGTCCTCGCTGAGTCCACTCTCGGATGGTTTAATTTGGGTCGTTGTGCCGATGTTAGGTGTGTCGGCCCTGCTTTAGCTCATTCCTATCCGGCGTTTGGTTCTTCCATTGCACCCACCCAGGTGGAAGGACAAGGCGTCGGGGGCTAATGCAGTCGGTTTTAGGTTGGCTTTAAGTGGGTGGGACGGTTGGCTACGGTTTTCTTCGGTCTTGCATGGCACTCATCGACGCGATCGTCATGGGCACCAGGCATTCGCTGGTGGGCTGACTGCTGAGTTAAAAACATGGCCTTTGGTCTGTTGGTGGGTTGTGCGGTGTGTCTGAAGTTTGCGATGCGTAATTGTGTGTGAGATGTATTTGGTTTTCATGGTCAGGTTTGATCCTTGCTGTAGCAGCGAAAACTTGCCGTGAAAGCCTTTTCAATTTGGTGGGTTCCGCCTTTGTCTGCAATGGTTTCTTTTGTTCTGTACCCTTTCGGTGGCATCCTTACGTTCCAACTGCTGAGTTCTGTCGTGTGCCTGCTCGTGTGGGAACCAAAGGGTTGGCATTCGATTGACGCCATGGCACCGCTTGTGGTACACTATCTGTTGTCTCTTTTCCGGAAAGTTTTGGCCCATTGGTTGTTGTTGAGTACTCGGGTTTGGTGCACTAACGGGGACTGGTTAAGAATTCTCTGTTAGCCTAAGTCTGCCCATAAAGTATTTTGTTCCAGGGTTCCCTGGTTCNGACGGATCGCAAGGCCATAGTGCTGGCGACGCATCATTCAAATTTCTGCCCTATCAACTTTCGATGGTAGGATAGTGGCCTACCATGGTGGTGACGGGTGACGGAGAATTAGGGTTCGATTCCGGAGAGGGAGCCTGAGAAACGGCTACCACATCCAAGGAAGGCAGCAGGCGCGCAAATTACCCAATCCTGACACGGGGAGGTAGTGACAATAAATAACAATACTGGGCTCATTCGAGTCTGGTAATTGGAATGAGTACAATCCAAATCCCTCAACGAGGATCCATTGGAGGGCAAGTCTGGTGCCAGCAGCCGCGGTAATTCCAGCTCCAATAGCGTATATTTAAGTTGTTGCAGTTAAAAAGCTCGTAGTTGGACTTTGAGATGGGTTTGCCCGTCCGCCTCATGGTGTGCATCGTTGAACTCTTCTCTATTGCTGGTGATGTGCTCCTGGTCTTAATTGGTCGGGTCATGCCTCCAGTGCTGTTACTTTGAAGAAATTAGAGTGCTCAAAGCAGGCCTACGCTCTGTATACATTAGCATGGGATAACATTATAGGATTTCGATCCTATTACGTTGGCCTTCGGGATCGGAGTAATGATTAACAGGGACAGTCGGGGGCATTTGTATTTCATAGTCAGAGGTGAAATTCTTGGGTTTATGAAAGACGAACAACTGCGAAAGCATTTGCCAAGGATGTTTTCATTAATCAAGAACGAAAGTTGGGGGCTCGAAGACGATCAGATACCGTCCAAGTCTCAACCATAAACGATGCCGACTAGGGATCGGTGGATGTTGCTTTTAGGACTCTACCGGCACCTTATGAGAAATCAAAGTCTTTGGGTTCTGGGGGGAGAATGGTCGCAAGGCTGAAACTTAAAGGAATTGACGGAAGGGCACCACCAGGAGTGGAGCCTGCGGCTTAATTTGACTCAACACGGGGAAACTTACCAGGTCCAGACATAGTAAGGATTGACAGATTGAGAGCTCTTTCAAGGATAAAATGTAAATTATGAATATCCGAGAGTCAATACAATGTACATCCACGAAGTAAACATACAATGCATCGGGGCATACCCCTATAAATCAAAAATAAAGAATGGCACACACGCCAAAGGCACGCACGCCCAATCAACAAAACTAAAGAAACAAGCACAAGAGAAAAGTACATCACACAGAGACATGATCAGCACCATCACCGGGCTTGTCCTCGTCATCATGGATCGTCAACCTCAAAAGATTATCAAAAGGAAGTTCTTTCCTCGTCAAAACTCCAAAGGTGAAGCACCATCGGAGGGCTTTATGAAACATCAAGACACCAAACCTAAGGGTTCATTTGCGTCATTGTTGCCACTACAACGACAAGTCCTCAACACATGTAGGATCAACAAGTTCACCCTCAAGAAAGAGATGCCATGACCCATGTCCACGAGTTCATCAAAGGCCAAAGTGCTAGAGTAAACTCAACCGAATCAGAAACAGAGACGGAAATAGCAGATGGCTCAAGTAAACTCTAGTGGACCAGGCCCGAAGTCATAAAGCACTTGAAAAACACCCAGTCCGGTATCAAATCACACACATGGGTAAAGGAGTTGCAAACATAACTCAACTATCACACCAGGGGGGTGCCAACGTACCCTTCCCTCTATGGTGTTGAACATTGGAATCGCAGATTCACAATGGCCTCCCAACCAGTCGAGAGGCAGCGAGAACGTTTAGTATCCCTCCCAAGGTGTTCATCGACTCCAAACTGAATGAGAGAAGGCCAGTTCATGGCTCACCAATGGTCCAAGCAAATGGACCTTCAGGCAGCCCTAGCATGTGAATGGTCCAAGAACACACTTATCCACCCAAAGACGTCCTCAAAAGACCCACGTCAAAACAGCCATAGCCCCGGGGATTCAACATGACCAAAGCCACGGTCTCACCCAAGGAGAGGCCTGAAATGGTTCAAGTAGACTGCACATTCAGCTATCCCAAACAGCATGACAAAACCAGCACCATAACAGACCAGTGAAGCACAGCCGCAGGGGAAAAAACGAAGAACATGAACAGTAACTCGAGCATCCAAAATCAAGGTGACCAAATTCAGTTATATGAATCAAAAATCCAACAACAGATGCTTAATGGCCCCTGAATCACGATCACAATACCAAAAAATGGGGGACAAAATGAGCCGGAAACATGGTTAAACCTGGACATGAAGGCAGCGCTGTGAACAGTACCACGAAGGCCCAAATTTGCTCAAATCGCAGGTTCCTTCAAATGGAATGAAAATCCAATTGATGGTCATGAAAGAGCATCCCATGTCGCTCATAATCCCCCAAAAAATTGCCTTGAAGAGGGCCTAAACCGAGGTGAATTCAACCTGCAAGTGCCGCCGATGAACAGTAGCACGCGAGAGTTGACCTGCGATTTTCCCCCAATCCAGCATCTGAATCATGAAATTGAGCTCAAGAATGGATTCCCAAGCCTCAAGCGATCCTAGAGCTCAAAGAATCGCAGCAAAACATCAAGAAATTCAAGGTGAAAGCCAAGGATTAGCATCGCCAGTGAACAGTAACTCGAGTTGCTGCCCAGCGTGCGAGAATCCTAGAGAGACAAACTCCTGCTTCCATATTCAGAGCTCTTTCAAGGGTAAAATGTAAATTATTATTACCCCAACTCAGAACGGTACATCAATGTCAAATGCCAAACCATAAGAATGGTTCGGTGCATATAAAAGACAACAAACATCAACAACAAAGCCAAAGATAATACAACAATCAACATACAAAAAACTTGGCACGCAGGCCATGCAAGATAAATAACCAACACTAAAACATCAATGTGGTCCCACTTCATCATGGGGGACCACGTCCCGGCTCTTGTGGAATCCGCTTCCAGCTACGAGTACCTTGCATCATCCCGACCATAGTACGGTAGGCAAAGCAAGAGCATGGGGGGAGCATATATTGGGGGTTTCAGCACTGACCATCCATATATACTCCCTCCCCAAGGGTCCAGTACGACAAACGCTCAAACAAGAATCAAAATCAGCTCCAAAGTTCTTCATTCAATGTCATGCATCCAAAAGAGGCGAGTGAGATGTTAATCTAACCATAGTCACCATCATCCATCAACGAGGTTGATGCTTTCCACCGACATGCCAAGGGCCAGTCCTCGAGTGCCAGAAGTTGTCCACCCTCGTCAAGGCAGACAGCTTAACCTCCAAAGTGACCCGAGGGACACACACTCTGCCATACAAACCCCTCCCTAGGTTTATGGTCAGAGTTCCCTCAATGTATTTGGCAAGTGTCCCCATAAAGACTAGGCGCAAGTTCACTAGGTTGTCCTTTAAGCGTTCATCCACAATTGCCCTCGGTTTGAGTTCAGAAGCAAGACGTAGATAGGCGGGATCTAGCGAAAACAAACTCCCGGCGAAAACAAAACCCGAGAAAAAGCCAATTCAACCACAAGAAGCACTTGTTGGCCGAGATAACCCAGGCTCCTCCAAAAGCCCCAACCGAAAGGGTGAAGAAGAGCTTAGGCAGCTTGCCAGCACGACCATTGAGGCAAAATACAACATAATACTCAACCCCAATTGAAATGGTATTACCTTCATCATGAGGCAATCCCAAAACAGTCCATGATATATGTCACACCAAATGACAAAGGGCAGCCCCATACTTATCTCATCAAAGGTTAGGAATCCACACAGACAGACCACGGCATTCACATATTCTCATGGATTCAAACCCATGGGAAGACCAAGCCTTTCAAAGCAATTCCAGCCCCAAATCCGAGTAGCAAGCACCAAAATAATCACAGGTTTAAGACCAAACAAAGCCCAGCAGATTCAGGTCCAACCTCACCCCCAAACCATCCAAAGAAAATCTCAAAACAGCTCCAAAAAGCAGCCCTGGCAGTGACTAAGACAGGTCCTTGCGCAGGTCTTCCATTCCCAAAACCAGCAGGAAACATCCAAAATCCAGCCTCAAAAAACCCCACGGGCAGAGTAATGTGCCAAAGGAAGAGGTCCACACGCAAGGCCACAATCAACAATTAAATTCAGTTCCAATTACAATCAGCAAAAACCACTCCAACAGCCCTGAAATCCAGTTGCATTTACAGCCCCTTGGGGCCTAAGAACAGCTGCCTTTGAGCTCCATTTCACAGCAAATCCAACCCCAAAACAGTAGGGCCAACATCCCCTGGGCAGTGGGTTGCTGGTTCATGCTCAAACAGCAAGCAAACCCCAAAATGCAACAAAGCAAGGCATAAGGAAGGAGCAACATCATTCAGCATCACAAACTCAAAGTTGTCTTGCCCAAGAATCAGCGAAATTAAGCAACAAGCAAATGTCCAACAGTGGTAGAAAACATTAACGCAGTTCATGGAGTGTACAGTAACCGAGACTTCAAATTCATTCTCAAATCACAAGATTAATCATATGGAATTGTAATCCATGATAAAACCATGCTAGGGAAATCGAATTCGCACCAAAATCCAAAAGATGGACCTCCAAAATGGCTATAATCGCAGAAAATCAACCAATATCCGAGATGAACAGTGAACTCGATGTCCACTGGTCTCCAAATCATATGAAGATGAAATGGAAATGGAATATACCTTCGAACCTTGAAAAGGAATCACCAATCGCCCAGATTTTCAGAACCTTAACCTTCAAAAATTCCTGCAAAGACGTGAATCAAGAAGCCAATGTCGGGAATGAACAGTAGCCACGCAGGCGTTGACCTTCATTTCTTCAAAATTCATCTTCAACGATAAAATGTAAATAGAATAAAGAATAAGAATGTACAACTAGAACGGGCATACCCGAGCTTGGAAATGGCAGTTTCCAAATCCATAAAGATAACAACATCACCAAATGTCCACAAACCAATTCATAAGACAACAAACAAACCAAGGCAGACACGCCAAAAGCAAAAGCTAAACAATCATCAAAAGGTTACAGAGTACAAGGGCCATAGTCTCCCTAGGATAGAATAAACCATAACCTTGATTTTAGAAGTCACAACCTGAATGGAGAGAGGTTCGCGCTAAAAGTGGGCAGCATTACGTAGCTTCCAGAGGTGGAAAACAGTGCAAGCAAAAGCAATCCTTCTCGCCTTCTTGAGGATCCCATCCCCTCGCCTAAAAGCCTTCAGCCATCTGATGGTTCTGGTGAGGGTACTCAGGTGTCCTTCCATACCTAGCCAAGTCTTGATATTGTCCCAAACTTCTTTAGAGAACTGGCAGCTAAAGAACAGGTGGTCCACATCTTCCAACCCATGTCCACAGAAGGTGCAGTCCATAGGCAAACC